AGGCGCGGGCGAAGTTGTAGATGTAATGGGATGGGTGGTGATAATATGTAGGGTCTATCGTGCCTTCTGTTTGGTCAAGATCCTCCCATCGTGCCTGCCTATATTTGGTGGTCAAGATTCCCCCCGTGCCTTCCTTCCATGTTCGGTGCCTTCCTCAATTGCCGCTCACTTCGCTTGTCGCGTATATGCCAACCTTGCTGCATTATCTTATCAGTTCGTTATATAGACCGTTTGTAATGACGTTCGTTGTGCGATCCAACGGCAGCTCGTATTCGCAGCCTCGCCGCCGGATGAATCAACGGAGTCGCAGCGGCCCGTCCCCAGGAATTGTTAGAATCGTTAGAATCGTTGTCACACGAAGCAACGGTTCAACGCTCGACGCCAAACGCCCCAGCGCTCAACGCCGCGTCACTACTTATCACCAACAGGTACTCGAGGTCCAACTCAAGCAGGGCAAAAAGGGTTCCGGCTCCGTCACAGCGCATGTTGGTGGCCCCACCTAAACACGTGCTTGCACGTTGCTGCGAGCCATGGCCCAGGCGCTGGACTGGGCTCCGGGCTGACCTACATGACGCTCGTGCTGAGCTACCATGTTCCCGCCCACCTGGGAGCTTGACACTTCATCAGCGCACATATCAAGGCATTCCCTGGGTCGCTCATCTAGTCAGTGACCTCGAAGCCTCGTCACAGTCGCGCTGGCACTGGCTAGTCGGGCGTCTGGACAGGCTATGCCTCGCGCCGCGTCGTCTGCAGCTTTGCACAAGCTTTCTTACCGGCAGAAGTCGTCGCAGCCAGGCGTCTGACATGAGATAGCAGGCCGCCGCCCGCATTCATGGCCAGAGGCGTGCCGGCGACGACGTCTGTTGGTGCAGTGCTCCCGTCGGCTCGGCAGAATATCAGGAGCGCAACAGTGGGCCAAGCGACTATCGGCTACACGCTGTCGCGGCTTGGGGTCCAGTTCCCCGAAGCACCATGCCTCGCAGCCCACGCCGGACGACGACTGAAACCCTGGCGCAAAAGTGGCCGACCTGTCCTGCAATGTCGAAGCAGCATTCACATGTTGGAGTCGTTGGAGTCATGGAGTTGGCCGCCCTTGGTGAGCGAGTCCTTGACTCCTTGGTGTGGCTGGAGCCGGGAGTCAGCGTGCTGGCGGGCAGGCCGCTCGGCGGCTTTCTTGTTCCTACAGAGTCGAGGGTGCATGTGTAGTGCCTCTCTCCCCAATGGCACCCCCAAGGGGGCCCCCGTTTGCAGCCCTAGCATGTCCTAGGGCCTGCCGCCTGCGCTTGCGCACTGAGACGACGGCAGCTCTTCTGGCCGTTTGGTCGTGACGGCACCACCTTGGGACGTGACGGGCGCACACAGTGAGACCAGGCTTCCACGACCTGGGGCGGCACGGCGTCGTCGGCTTATATGGGCACGCAGCAGCCAGCCACGGGGCCGGGTCGGCGAGGCGGTCCTGAGTGCTTCTGGCTGCAGGCCCTGGGCGGTTTCTCGTCTGCATGGCTTGGATAGGACTAGGCGGATTGACGTTTGGCAGCCCCCAGTGCTGCAGCGCCGTCGCCCAAGGCCCAAGGTGCCAACTCGACGCAGAAGCGTAAAAACCCCGGAGGCCCATGTCGACTAATCGCGTTTCTTTTTGACCTCCCTCATCCATCACGCCGCTATCGTTGCCCCCGTCCTCCGTGCTGCCTGCCCATCCCACGTCGCCCGCGCTCATGCAACGGAGCCCCGATAGTAGACGCTGCTGCTGATAGGTGATGCCCCGGACTCGGACGCTTGCACCCTAGAAGCCCTGATCGCTTTGTCCATCGCCCGCTTCCAAATCCACATCTTCACGTGGGGACACGAGCCACTCGCAGAGAACCCTGACCACGTCAAGACGCCTCGCCCAACTTTCTCCCATCCCCTCGACCACCACCGGACCACCTCCCAACTCGACTTGCTCCAACGCGCATCTGCTCCCCGCTCGCGTCTGCCGCCCCTTCTGCGTCGGCCCAGCTGCACAGGCCTCGCTTCCGCCTCGACGTCTGCGTGCAACCATTGTGCTCTCCCAAGCCGATCCATTCTGAAGCGCCTGCAGCTCCCCGTTGACACGCGCCCCTGTGCTGCCGTGCGAGTGTGGACCGCCGTTTGGGACCACGACATCGAGACGCTCATTCTGGCCGCGCCGCCCCCTTCGTCCCGCCCCTCTGGATCTCTCGCAGCTCCCAACCTAGGCTGAACCCGCTGAGCCCGCTGGTCAGCTGCAATCCCGCTGCTGTACACGAGACGACACTGCGACGACGTGGCGAGCTGCTTGCACCACGCCCCGTCCTTTATCTGTGCCCCATCCGCCCTTGACTCGCTGCCTGCATTGAATTGACACGGCCGACTCTGCTCTCCTACCGACACCATGGCGGGGAAAATGACGCTGTACAAGCTGGTGGTGCTGGGCGACGGTGGTGTGGGAAAGACCGCCCTGACCATACAGGTAGCCCTGCCCTCCTGTTTCCCCCATTCCCTTGACATTGGCTGACCGCGGCTAGTTGTGCTTGAACCACTTCGTTGAGACGTACGACCCCACCATTGAAGACTCGTACCGCAAGCAGGTGCAAATTGACGGCCAGTCCTGCATGCTCGAAGTCCTCGACACGGCTGGCCAAGAAGAATACATCGCCCTGCGGGACCAATGGATACGCGACGGCGAGGGCTTCGTACTCGTCTACAGCATCTCATCACGCTCCTCCTTCGCCCGCATACAGCGATTCCACAGCCAAATACAGCGCGTCAAAGAGACGGCCATGGCTGGCTCACCGACCTACCCCGGCTCGCCCATCAGCGCATCAGCTCCCATGTTCGGCCAGGCCCCTGTGATGCTCGTCGGAAACAAATGCGACCGTGTCACGGAGCGTGAAGTCTCGACCCAAGAGGGCCAAGCTCTCGCAAAAGAACTCGGCTGCGACTTTGTCGAGGCATCCGCCAAAAACTGCGTCAACGTTGAAAAGGCCTTCTTCGACGTCGTTAGACAGCTCCGACGGCAACGACAAGGCAGCGGACGCAACCCCACAGACAGGAAAGAAGCCCGCGTACGCACCGGCCTGCATGAGAAGGACCGCACAAGAGGAGCCGGTGACCGTCGCACACGGGGTGCCGGCATGACAGGCGGCAACAAGCGCGGCAAAGAGAAACCGAAGTGCGTCATTCTATGAGCTCCCGGCTCGACATCCACTCGGTCCAGCGACCGATACGCCTTCCGACATACATATTTGGATTTACTGCACCATAACGGGCTACGACACCTCCTACTGTCGTGCCACATCACTGATAGAAAGCACTCAACAAGGCGTCGGCATATGAGCGGCGTTTGCATCGATGGTCTCACTTTGGTTTTGCATGAGACCCATGGAGTATCTGGAGTACTACGAACATTAGCCTATTCTTATTTCCTTAACGACCGAGATCTGCGCAGCAACTGAGATCTTGCATGACACTGTACGGCTGAATTGATTAAGTGGGCTAGGGCTGGCGGGTTGCGAAAAGAAGGCAACATGTCGACAATCTGGAAGACGGGTACTGTGGTAGCATGTGTTTATTGTCAGCAGCGCATGGCATATTTGGAAATCTCAAAACCTGGAATAAGGACGGAAAAGTCATGGGTTCAGTTTGGGTCACACATTCTTCTATAACGCCCCCCGAGATACCTTTCGAATTCAACGTCTATGTTTTTTGGTACATGACTACTCCTCCTCCTCGTCCTACCTTGATTCTTCACATGTGTGATCTTCATCTTTTCGTCCCGGATAGTGTGTCTCCGATGTTCCGGTACGTCTTCCCCACAAAGCAACCGACCCGACTCCGGCACTGAGGACATGTGGAACCCCGAGAGCCAGCCCTTCCCACGCGAGCGACAAGCGGGGATTTTGTATTTGAATTAATGGCCAAACCAGCCAATCGCTCTACTTCCTCCATCGACAAATGAATCAAAGCACAATGCAGCTGGAGACGAGAGCGGCAAACGGAGACTTTTGCTCGTGCAGTAACGAGGGAGGGGGAGCAGACAATCCCTTGCCTCCCCTGCTGTTTCGTGCGTGCGTGCGTTGCGGCAGCGGGCCAACGTTGGCGATATCCCAGCACGTACAGGCGGCGAGTGCAGCTGGTAGCTCCAGGTACACCCAGCCGCCGTGCATATTGACTTGCGAACGAACGAGCAGAAATTTTCGCCACCGTGAATTTGCCTGCATGCGGGCAGTCTATTGTTGGCGCAGTTCTTTTTCTGACCTCTCTTCTTCCCTCGACGTGTTGGTGGGAAAAGGAGAGGGGCGTTTCTGGCATTCTCCTGTCAAGTTGGGCAGCATTGCATACTGCGGGTCATCAAAGTGCCCTGCAAGTCCCCCGAGACGGCAAGGCTAGCGATGGGACGAGCCCATGTGCACTGGCTGGTTGTTGCGACGATAACCAGGCGGCCCTTTGATGCATACACGTTCGAGAGGTGGATGTTGTGCTTGTTGGATGTATGGAGTTCACAAGATATTATCGCTACGGCGGCCGTTCAAAGCTGATCTTGGTTCATCTCACGATGCTATGAGCAACGTCTCACAGCATCAAAATGAGTCATGATGAGTTTACGCCGTTTGCGCACTTGCTCTTGTGTACAAAGTAAACCGCTACCAATGGCTGCTTAGGATAATCCCATCCATATTGCACACCTCAGCGAGTCCAGACCTCACGCAACAGTCGAGCAGGAGGAACTGCGGTCAATTGTGCGTCAGGCCTTGACGCGTTTGCAGTTTCAGAAGGCGGGACGCGTTCGTACCTGTCAGTTCAGTCCAGTCAGTCAACCACTGCGGGGTCCAAGAAAACGGCACCTCCATCACCAGCACCACCCATACGCGTAAGCCCAGAATGTCACTTACTCTACAGTTGCCTCTTCCAAATCTCCCATCATCACGCCATCGTTGGAAACTAACTGACATGCTGTCCAAAGATCACCGCAACCAAGAGTCCAATCCTAGTTGCCGAACATGACGCTTCCGGATTTGGCTATGGATATCGACCTGATGGGTGCCCAGCCCGCTCTGTTCAAGCTTTATACCCAACTTGCCTTGTTCTTTCCGCTGTCGGAGGAGGGGCAGCAGGTACCAGCGTCACGGGAACGTATCACTGCGATCATCACCGCCGGATTGGCAGAGCTAGCAAAGACTTTCCCGTGGGTTGCTGGGAAGGTCGTCGACGTCAATGCCAATGCAAATTCTCATTCTGATGACTCCGATTCCGACGTCACGGCCAAGCCCCTTTACAGGATCCGGCCGCTCGAACCGGTGCCGCAATGTATCGTACGAGATTATACTTCCGATGCGGAGATACCCAGTTTGGCGCAGATCATAGATGCGGGTTTTCCGATGCGCATGTTGGGTGAAGAGACTTGGGCGCCGTGTCCTACGCTCGCTGCTTTGGGGTTTGATCCGAGGAAAGCGTCTGGGGAGGATGATCGGCCTGCTCCCGTGATGCTGGTGCAGATCAGTTATATTCGGGGTGGTATGGTGCTTTGTGTTAATCTGCAACATAATGTGTGCGATATGATGGGGCAGGCGGCTGTGATAGGCTGGCTGTCAAAGGCTTGTGCGGGTGAGGAGTTCACTGGAGAGGAGCGAAAGGTAGGGAATATGGTAAGGACGGGTGTTGTACCGCTTATTGAGGATGAGGGATGGGTGCCGGGAAGGGAACTGCAGAACCAGCTTTTTCTTCCTGCTCCCATGGTTGTCGAAGAGGAGAATACCGCTGAGTCAACGGTTGCTGGAGCACCTGTAAAATCCAGTTGGGTGTACTTCGACTTCTCAGCATCGTCTTTGAAGACACTAAAAGATCTTGCGACCACCACACTTCCCCAAGACTTCACTAGTTACATATCAACCGACGACTCCCTCTCCGCATTCATCTTCCTCTCCGTCCTCCGCGCAAGACAAACACGTCTACCCCCATCCACCCCAACAACTCTCGCCCGCGCCGTCGACGCCAGACGCTACCTAAACATCCCCCCCAACTACCCCGGCATCCTACAAAACATGGCATACACGCGCTACACCCTCTCCACCCTCCTCTCCACCCCCCTCGGCCACATCGCCGCTTCAATGCGCCAATCCATCGACCCCGCAACCTCAGACATCGCATTCCGAACACGCTCCCTCGTCACTTTCCTCGCGCAATCGGCAGACAATGCGGTGAAAACGAGTCCGACTGCTACTCTCGATATGAGCGTTGATATTGCGCTTAGCTCGTGGACGAAAGTGCCGGCGCACGAGTGGGACTTTGGACTTGGGTTGGGGGGTGCGGTTGCTGTAAGGCGACCGGGCTTTGTGCCTGTGGAGGGGCTGGTGTATTTGATGCCGAAGAGTAGGGATGGGAGTGTGGCTGTTGCGATGTGTTTGCGAGAGGAGGATTTGGAAGGTCTGGAAAGGGATGAGGAGTGGGGAAGGATGGCTACGTATGTTGGTTGAATGCGACTTTGATGCCGCGAGATGAAAGAGGTACATGGAGAATGAATCTGATCTATGTACAGGTGTGGGTACAACCGTAAACTCAGTTCGGCATTCGTTATTTAGAAGCACAACAGCGAGTTCCTTGGTCTTGGACAGACTCTAATCCGCCTTCGATACCATGACCCCTACGACGGTAGTCACTGGGCCGCGTTGGCAATTGTATCTGCATTACCAGGTGCCGGGTCAGACGGATTGGACTCATACGATCTATATCTCCGCTCATCTAGTCACACTTTGACGGTTACCGCATATGCCTATTTGATAGCGACTTGATACTGTTGCCTCGTTGTTTTGGCTCCTGGAACGTTACGACCTCTCCAGGATCTTCGATGTGATCGTTTGCTTCGACGTTACCATACCGTGTGCTCTCTGGTCATCTCGTGGTATATTCTCTGCTACATCTCCATGCCATATACCCATCAAGTCCTTTTATGAACAGTACCTTCGACGCACGCGAAGACTCGAAGAAACCCATGTATTTACAATCCACCTTCACAAACATCTACCTATCCTACACTACCCCCCAACCTCCCAACCACCATCTAATTCTTCTTCTCTCCATCCTTACCCTCACCCTCCTCCTCCTCCTTCTCCACAAACATAGTCTCCTGCGCACTCCAAAGTTCACTATACAAACCATCCCGATCAATAAGATACTGATGCGTTCCGCTCTCCGCTACATTACCCTCTCTCAACACGATAATAACATCAGAGTCGTAAATCGTGCGGAGACGATGGGCGACGAAGACGGACGTGCGGCGCTTCTCTTTGACGAGCGAGTTGATGTGTGAGAGGAGGGCTTGCTCGGTGTGCGTGTCTAGGGCGGATGTCTGTGTGTGGGATGTCATGTTAGTCATTGGTGAAAGAGGAAAGTGGTAGGAAGGGATAAGGACGTACAGCTTCATCGAAGAACAAGAACGGCGGGTCCTTGAGGACGAGTCTTGCGATGGCTAGTCTTTGCTTCTCGCCACCTGAAATCATCATTCCGCGCTCACCAACCATGGTCTCGTATCCATCGGGGAAACGGCTGATACTCTCGTCGATACGTGCTTTCTTTGCCGCTTCGATGACCTGTTCCTGTGTCGCTTCTAGGTTGCCGTAGTGAATGTTGTGCTGGATAGTGTTGTTGAAGAGCGGGGTGTCTTGTGGTACAACACCAATAGCCCTCCTCAAGCTATCCAACGTAACATCGCGGATATCTTGGCCATCAATCAGAATACGCCCCTCCTGTGCGTCGTAATAACGGAAAAGAAGTCTTAAGATGGTAGACTTTCCGCAACCGCTAGGACCAACAATGGCAACTTTCTTGCCCGCAGGAATCGTGAGATTGAGGTTCTTGATGATGGGTCGGTCGGGTCGGTAGCCGAAGGATACGTTTTCGAATTTGATTTCTCCCGTCTTGAGGGCGAGGGGCTTGGCGTCGGGCTTGTCTTTGACGGCTACGTTGACTTTTTGGAGGTTGAACAGTGTTTCCATGTCTAGGAGGCTTTGGCGGAGTTCGCGGTACATGGAGCCGAGGAAGTTGAGGGGCACGGAGAGCTGGAAGACGAGCTGGTTGACCATGACGAGGTCGCCGACGGTTAGTTGACCGGTGGCTACGCCGTTGGCTGCGAGGTACATCATGGCGGTAAGGGCGGAGGAGAAGATGATGTTTTGACCGGAGTTGAGGAAGGCGAGGGAGGTGGCGACCTTGATGGACGCCTTCTCGTAGTCTTTCAGAGCCTTGTCGTAGCGGCCGACTTCGTACTTTTCGTTGTTAAAGTACTTTACTGCCTCGTAGTTGATCATGGAGTCAACGGCGACTGTCGCGGCCTTGTTGTCTGCGGCGTTGGCCTGCTTCCTGAACTTGGTGCGCCAGGAGGTGGTCATGATGGTAAAGACAGAGTAGGCGGTCATGGTCGTGCCTGTGATGAGAGCGAATTGCCAGCCGTATTGGTATGTCAGGATACCGCATACTAGAGAGATCTCTAACGCCGTAGGGAAGATATGAAAGACCATGGCAGTCAATAAGAAGCTGATACCCTTGGTACCGCGATCAATGGCGCGCGTCAAGCCTCCTGTTTGTCTCGATAGATGGAAACTCAGGTCCAGCCTTAGCAAATGATCATAGACACTGCAAGCGACTTTACGAATAGCCTTCTGGGCGACACTGGCAAAGACGGCATTGCGCAGTTCTTGGGAAACAGTGGCGCCAATACGAGTCATTCCGTCTGAAGGGAGTCTCAGCCAGGGTGGACATGGGATGCATTGTTGGGTCTAGCTTACATGCGATGATCATAGAGCCTGCTACTGTGGTCGCTGTGCCGCCAACAGCCGCAAAGTCTATGTTCATGGCGTCTACAATGCTCTTGAAGTAGAAGGGGACTTGGACGTTCAGCAGCTTTGCGCCTACCAGCAGGCCCAGACTGATGCCGACCCTGAAGCGCGTGCCCATGTTGTCCTTTGGCCACAGGTATGCCGACATCTCTTTCATAATGGCCCAGTCAGCCTTGCGCTGCTCCTTGTTGGTCAGGACCTGCTCCTGCAGCAATGGGTCCGTCTTTGCGACTTTGGCCGCGGCGGGGTCGGCGGCAGGTTTGGTGGCTTCGACGGCAGGCTTAGAGCCGGGCTTGGGCCGCTGACCGTGCGCATCCTTTCTGTGTAGCGGAGAGCAGGTGAATACGCGAATGCCGTGGTGGAGAGGATGCGGGCGCAAACTGGACGATCGAAGACCCGGCCGACTGGCGGCGCGGGCGAGTGGTTGGATTAACATGGCGATGTCACATGTTAGGTCTCTGCACCGCTATCATAGGAGAGAGAAGCTGTGGAGAGCTTCAATGGCGGAGGAAGACAAGATGACAAGAGTGTTTGCTGTGAGTACCTAGACAGCCACATGCATCCCACGTTGTCTAGCGCGTTTTGGGCGGCAGGGCTGAAGCGAGGCGTTCTTGCATCATCGCTGCTCCGAGCTTGACCAGAACATCTTCGCCGCCCGTCACGCGCCAATTGCCCGGCACAGCCATGTTACGACCGGCTGCCTCGCCCTGGAGGAACTTCTCGCCCACATCCGCCGCTGCCATACGGCGGACGCCCTTTGCGGCGCGATGCATCAACATATCAGCCACCAGCTCGTCAAACGAGCCCGCGCTGCAGCAGGCAGTCAGTGTTGAGGGCACCGCGACGCCCATGCACACACCAGGTAAGAAGCGTCGATATAATTACATTAGTTATACAAAGGCTAAAAGAACCGTCAGACGCCCGATTCGAAGTCATTGGCACCCCGTTCTCCCTCCTCTCCGTCTCCCTCTCCGCCTCACAGACGCTCTACACCCGCCGCGGCACACTCGTCGGCCTCAGCGGAAAGTCGGAAAACACGCTCTCAACCCTCTCCTTCCTCGAGCCCCTCCAGAGGGCCCCCGTTGGCATCCCCTTCCTCTACCAGAAAGTGTCTTCGACGAGCCCCGTCACAGCTCTCGTCTCCACAAAGGCACCCATATCGAGCATCGTCTCGGTCAACATGGACGGAAGGGATGATTGGATTGTTAGCCAAAGAAATGCATTGCTTGCATGGACCGGCCACACTCTCAAGTTGAAGCCGCAGTACAATGTCAAGCTGGGCCTTGCACACTGGGGAAACACATATATTACTGGCAGGGGGCTACTAGCGCTTGCAGGAAGCGGGCAGATATACCAGGTCCAGGTCCAGGCTGGCGAAAGCTATGTTGCGCATCCCAGGTATGTTGAGACGACAGGCATACTCGGAAGTTTGCACTAACAGCATTGTAGCAACGTCGTAGCGTACACAGCCTCCAACACACCACCAATCCCTTTCCGGTTCAAGTCGTCGAACCTCCGATTCCAGGTGCCGGACCTAGGCTTTGGCTCAATGGTCCAGAACACCAAGTTCTTCCGAACTATGAGCAAGACAGGCACATGGCGGGCTTTGGCAACCACATATTACACTCTCAAGACATGGTTGCGGAGAACAGTCTGGGGCGACAGAGTAAGCTACAGGCCTAAGAAAAGACTTGTCACAAATGCTAATTCACATAGTTATTCCTCCGTTTCGAAGGCCCAACCACCATGCTCATCCAGTCTCGCGCTTCCCGAATCAGCGATGTCCTTACTTTAAGAAACGTTGACGAGATTGCCGACAGCCCACCAGGCGCCGTTGAAGACGCCGCCACGCGCAAGATCAAAGAGGAGATCAAGTCAATAGGAGAAGGCACAAAAGCACCGATACCCAACACAGATGCATCGGGCACAATACGGTATGCCACCGTGAAAGATGGCAAGGCTGAGTTTGAGAAGCCCAAGGTAGAGGAGGTGAAGGTGTAGAGCATCTGTACTGTATGTATATTTATGACATGGACCTGTGCAATGTGGTCTCAAACAGAAGGCGCTGCTGTGTGATTTGAAGTGCTCATACCTAACGTGAGGAAGATATGCATATATCAAACGCTTTTACTTGATAAGCAAGGCACGATGTTCATGAGTATGGGAGGAAGTATTGTTTGTTGTGGGAAAGGGCTACTGCCTGGGTGTTTTTGATCTCAGCTTTGCACAGAAGCCCGCAGTTTTCCTCCGCTTTCACTTGAAATTCAGCACTCACTTATGATAGCCATGTGACCGCCACCGAGCATTAAGAAGTATGTGTAAATAAGTGTGGGGCATCAAAAAGGTATCCAGGTTTGGTAAAGCCTTCTATCAGTATCGAAATTGCCGTGGGACAAGTCAGGATGACCAAACCTTTGACGTAAACAACCAGAGTTACTCGCAGAAAGACTTAGAGTTTGGGGGCGAAGCTCATGAGACTCCGTCATGAAGCGCCCGCGTCCAGAAACACGTCGCGTAAACGTGATATCTGGAACTAATTGGGTTAGCGCGGACAAGCTTCGGCTCCAACTGGGGCAGCGACGTGTTGCTCACGAACTCGAGCCACTACCAACTTCATCTCCTACCACCTTATTTATGTTACAAACGCACGACTACACGCGACATTGTAACGGAGGGCGCGTGATGCCCCCACCTACCGTCAAAATGGCGGGGTGCCCGCCTGTGCATACAACTTGCATGACAGAACAGGATTGGCTGCAGCACGCGACGCCACGCGAGGCATGCCTGTCTGCTACATAACATCTATCACGATTGAAACAGACGCGGAGACGAGCCGAGAGAGCCCACATCAGCATACGGAAAACTGCCTTGTTGACGCCCAGCAGCATCCAAAATCGATAGCCCTGATCGCCTCCCGCGGATCGACGAAATGCAGACCCAGCAAGACCGAAGCTCGCGAGATCATTCGCTCAACAATGACGTGCTTGCCAGAGATAAAGACGTGCTGAGCACAACAGATGTCGAGATCAAGGCAGCCGTTTCCGCGCCGGAAACAGCCATTGCGTACACACTATTTACAAAAGCTGAGCGGCGCATGATCACATGGTTGATCGGGTGCAGCATGTTCTTCTCTCCCTTTACAGCCAACATATACTTTCCATGCCTCGAGGAACTGCAACACGCTGTGCACGTCAGTACCAGCCTGATAAACCTTACCATCACGACATACCTGATCGTTCAAGCGATTGCGCCAGCTTTCTGTGGAGACTTGGCCGACAACCTCGGACGACGACCCGTGTACCTCATCACTTTCGCTATATATGTCTGCGCCAATTTGGGCCTTGCGCTCCAGCAGGATTATGCTGCCCTAATGGTCCTGCGTGGCCTCCAGAGTTTCGGCTGCTCCGCAACGGTAGCTATCGGGTACGGAGTGATTGCTGATGTAGCAACGCCAGCAACCCGAGGAAGCATGTTAGGGCCTGCCATGATCGCGACAAACCTCGGTCCAAGCATAGGCCCTTTAGTCGGCGGTGTAATGGCATCAAGAACTGGATACAGATGGGTGTTCTGGTTGCTAGTCATTATTGGAGCTGCCTTTCTGGCCGTTGTAAGCCTCGTCTTCCCTGAGACTGGGCGCAACGTCGTGGGAAATGGCAGTATTGCAGCACCCAAATGGAATAAACCTTTGTTGCAGTCAAGCCGGCAGCGACAGTTGACAACACCCAACGAACCGAGGGCTTGGAATAAGAGAAGCCTCATACCTAATCCCTTCAAGGCCCTGCTAGTCTGTTTCCACAGGGACACTGCTGCGGTTCTTTCCATTAGTGCCGTCTACTACGCTGCTTACTATTGCATTCAAGCCTCTATCCCAGCCATCTTCACGGAAATGTACGGTCTCGATGAGCTTCAAGTCGGTTTATGTTACTTTTCCATAGGGACTGGGGTCATCCTTGGTGGTTATATCAATGGTAAGCTAATGGACTACAACTATCGCTCCACGGCGAAGGCGAACAACATAACCGTCGACAAGGTTGCTGGCGACGATCTGGTCAAATTTCCAATAGAGAAAGCGCGCTCTCGGTTATCGTGGCTTCTCATTCCGACATCTACTGCAGTCATAGTGGGTTATGGATGGGTCTTGCGCAAAGAAATTGTAGGCCGTTCGCACTGTCCACACACCCAAAAAACTGACGACCATGCAGCATATAAGCGTACCGTTAGTATTCCTATTTCTTCATGGATTCCTTGCTACATGCATATGTCAGGTAGGTGTTGCCACACTGTACAACTGTCATCAATATTAACAAGTTTCCAGACGCACAACACTCTTATCGTGGACATTTCTCCGCAGAACACAAGCACCGCCGCTGCAGCAGGTAACATCACTCGGTGCGCTATTTCAGCAGCAGCTGTTGCGGCCATGCAGCCTCTGCTAGACGTTATGGGTGAGGGCTGGTTCTTCACGGCTCTGGCTGCAACTTCCGGTATACTGAGTGTTGTTGCAACAATTTTCATTCGAACAAGAGGTATGGCATGGCGCAATGAACGGCAAGCCCGTGAGAAAAACACCTTACGTACGCAAGACACTGCGCGCATGACTGGGCAAAAGTAGGGTCACGACCTCTTCTCTATACGTCCTCGGCGAATTTCCCAGAATCGCGTTTACCCCTCGCCTCACTCGTGGCGACGTAGCCCTCATATCCATCTGGGAACTTCGCGACCAGGCGCCGCATCCCCTCAATCGCCCTACATTCGGTCAGTCGGAGCTCGACATGCCACCGATGGTGGCACGACTTACAACTGCCGAGTAATCTTTGTCTGCTTCCAGCAACACGAGACCATGAGGTCACATCGACTGATTTGTTAGCGCTTGCAACCGCAAGAAAATGGACCATGCGTACACTGCGTAGAGGGCATTCCTGTCGTCATGGTCTTCTGCTGGCTTCGAGACAGGCACGAGCTTATGGTATGCGCGCAAATGCGTCCGATTGAACTGGTACCGCGTCGCGCGCCACGGATTTGCTTCGTATTCGTTATGTCCATAAAAGCTACCCGCGTCGTATAGGATCGGTTCGTCCGTCTCGTTGTCAACACTGACATTGCCATGCCACATATCACCATGCATCAAGACCGGCTCGATCTTGTTGCCTCCGGTCTCAAGCGGACGAAGGAGTCGGGGCACAACTTTCTTCACTATATCGGAAGATAGCGCATCCATTTCCGGGTCTGCGCCATGGATTTGTCGCTCCAGATCGATTATGGAAATCAGGTTGCGAGTGAAGTATTCTTCCCAGGTGTCACACCACTCGTTGTGGTTCGGAATATTTCCCTGGAAAGCTGTCTCGAAAATTAGCGTCACCAATCTTAATGTGATCCGCTTCGGAAACACGCACTGGTAATGTGGAATCCAAATTTTCCAGTCGGTGACTTCTTCTGATGTATCTTCGCCAGTATAGCGACGAATTCATCGACATCAGGCAATTCGTCGTTCATGTCACAGAAGGCTTGAATGTAGAAGAATCTCTCTGGATCCGATGCGAACGATCCGTAGGCTAACGGTCGCGGCACGTTCTGAGGAGCCGTTTCGTGCAGAGCGGCTGTGGACTCATATTCTGCTCTCACCATGTCTTTTGCATTCGCGTCCCGATACTCCTTCAGGAAGAACGAGGTCGGTTTCCCATCGAGTCTTGTGTCGATTTTAGTCGACACAGACCAATGCGTCGCCCCATGTGTGCAAACCCATTCTATCTCTGCGCCTTCTGGAAGAGCTGGAAAATTGGATCAGTATATTATCATGTTGCAAGGATATGCCAGTCGGCTGATGGAGTATACCTGCGGCGATGTTGGCATCAAGGTCTTTTCCTTCATACTTATCCTCATCTTTCAAGACAGCCTGTGTAAAATCGTCGTCAATCTTCACCATATTGTTGACAAAGCTACGGAGCTACGACAAAGCACGCTGGCAGACGCGGCTCAGTTCATATATCAACCGCCGCACTGCAACTGCGGGGTTTGCTGTGCCTCCAAGGCTGAACACACCCAAAGGATTCGGGACGTACGACATGACTGCATCGGATGGGTGAGCCCATCCATCTAAGGCCAATCATTTGGCGCCATCGCGGGCGATACACCCGATCTGGTGCGTCATGCCACTGCCGCAATGATTGAGGAATGCGACGTGCCGCTCACACGTGCCCACGAATGTTCAGCCTTTGCGCTTCACCTTCCTAGCAGTAAGCGCCTACTGTCTAACTTCTGCGCTTGAGATATGGAAGATGGCGGACGATGTACGATGATCTAGCACCTTCGCTGTCGGTAGTAGAGGCTGATTCGCTTATAGGCTACCCCGCAAGACGGCCCCCAAACGAATGACAGGCGCCGCTCGAGTACAGCCTTGTCACGAATCACCAGCAGAAACGGCTATTCTGTTCGAAGATCCTTCAGTCTGTTGACGCGTACGAAATCCCCAGAGGACACGACATTTCCGACCAGTCCATTTGGCCCTTACGGACTTACTCTTCTACATGAGCCACCAGAGCCTCTCGTCGATCTGATCTTCGTCCACGGCTTGCGAGGCGGGTCTGTAAAGACTTGGACGAAGGGCGAAGACGACGACAACTTCTGGCCACAAGCATGGCTACCACAAGAACCAGATTTACAACATGTGCGCATCCATACCTTCGGCTACAACAGCGACTGGGGCGAGCGAAAAGAGAGCATATTGAGCGTTCATGACTTTGGGAAAGATCTTCTGGGGGAGATGGCCACCAATCCACATCTGAGAACGCAGCAGAACCTACCTATAATACTCATCGGACATAGTATGGGCGGCTTAGGTAAATCGAGCCTTTGATGAACTAATCTGGCCGCATTTGAGCATTCAGCTGATTTGTTTCACATCTAGTGATAAAAAAAGCCTACATACTTGCTCGGAGAGATGCTGCGACCCAAGCGCTTGCTGCTCGCGTTCAATGCCTCGTCTTTCTCGCGACACCACATCGAGGTGCTGGACTAGCATCGGTGCTCAGTAACATGCTTCGAGCTGCCGGTATGTTCAACGCAAAACCATTTCTCGCCGACCTTGAGAAGAACTCCCTTGGGCTTGACATCATCAACGATGACTTCAGGCATTACGCGGATGAGGTCCGTCTCCTGTCTTTCTACGAGACCCTCAAACTAAACCTTGGGGTTCAATCTGCGTTGATTGTTGAGAAAGACTCCGCCTCCATTGGCCTCAAGCACGAACGCATACAACCGCTCAACGCCGACCATAGAACGGTTTGCAAATTCGACAGCGTGTACGACTCAAACTACATCAAAGTGAAGAACGCCCTAGCAAGCATCGTTGAGGATATACTTGGCGATACATTAGCGAGGAATGATGACGAAGAGCGTGCTCAAATCTCAGCTCTACAAACTTACCTCGATGTAATGGATAGGCCTATTGATGAGCTCAACAACGAGCAGGACAATCAAGTCTCGGGATCTTGCTCTTGGATCGAGAAGCGCGATGGCTTCCAGTCATGGTTTGGAACGCCTTCGCCATCAGTGCCTTTGTACTGGATTTCCGCCCAACCAGCAACCGGCAAAACCGTGTTAGCCGGCCATGTCATCACGAAACTCCAAGCCGAGGGTCGGGATTGTAGCTACTACTTCTTTAAACACGGACAAAAGGGAAGAAACACTTTGAGCGCAATGCTACGATCTATGGCACTTCAGATGGCCTTCATACACCCGACGGTTCGCAAGGAGCTGTACGATCTGCAAGAGCACAGTCTAGCTTTCGATAAAGATGACGAGAGGGTTGTCTGGAGGAAACTGTTTGTTGGGTCTGTGTTCAAGCTCAATCTCGGAAGGCCGCAATATTGGGTTGTTGATGCTTTGGATGAATGCATCGACCCAATGAAGCTATTCCCTTTGCTTTCGCGGATAGAGTGCAGATACGATCTCCAGATACTCATCACCAGCAGAGGGCCTTGGCCTGATTTCGAACGACAATTCGCCCGTCTCGGTCGTCGAGGCGTGACCGATACTATTCCTGTAGAAGATACAACGCACGACATCAGACTGTTCTTCGAACAAAACATGGACCAGCTTCCAGTTGAAGAAGAAGCCGACAGGCGACATCTTGTAGAGAAGCTAGTGACCAAATCGGCTGGCTGTTTCCTGTGGGCACGCTTGGTGTTACAAGAGCTTCAATCAGTATACAGCGAAGAGCAAGTTGAAGAGGTTATCGAAGAACTACCTATCGAGATGAGTCTTCTGTACGAACGGATCCTTGGCGAAATGTCACGAAGCGTACGTGAAACACGCCTCGCCAAAACACTCCTCGCTTGGGCCATTTGTGCGGTACGCCCTCTACATACTTCCGAACTCACCAATGCTGTCAAGATAGACGAGGGCATGAGCGTGCGAAGCCTGGAGAAGTCTGTCCAGGGTCTCTGCGGCCAGCTTCTCCATGTCGACAAAACTGGATACGTGCAAGTTATGCACATGACGACGCGTACATTTCTCACTGACGGGTCCTTGGACTCTGAGTTTGCGATATCCAAGGAAGAAGGAAACAAACGCCTGGCACTTACCTGCCTCAACTACTTATGTGGTGAAGAGATGCGGTCGCCTCGCAACAGGACCATTGTCAGCATCTCACGGGGTGCCAAGAGTCCCATTGCCGAGTACGCATGTGTTTCCTTTTCCGAACATCTGGCGATGGCATCGTCTTCCGACACTGCTCTCTTTGCAGCACTCGAAAAATTCCTGAGATCTAACGTCTTGACGTGGATTGAGTACATCGCGAAGAGCAAGAAGAACCTTTACCATATGACAAGAACGGCTAAGAACTTGCAGCGATATCTTGGCCGCAGGGCCAAACATACACCGCCGCTTGGTGAAGCATATCGATACGTCAATCAATGGGCGACAGACCTAGTGCGACTTGCTGCTAAATTTGGGCGTAATTTGCTAGACAACCCGGACTCAATCTACTATCTGGTGACGCCGTTATGTCCACGAGACTCCGCCATTCATCAGCAATTCGCAGACTCTCACAGTGGTCTGACCATCGCTGGGGTAGGGAAGAGTGCTTGGGAGGACTCTATATCCTACATTGATTTCCGCCAGAACCGCGCAATGTCTGTTGCTGCTGGTGACTATTCGTTCGCCATCGGTACTAAATCTGGACAAATATTCCTCTACTGGCAGGGTACTTGCCAGGAGAGAATGTCACTCGATCACGGAGAATCAGCGAAGGTTCTGCGCTTCGATAACAGCCATCGACTCGCCTCCGCAGGTGCCCACATGGTTCGTCTCTGGGATCTCAACAGCGAGATGCTAGTATGGAGCTACAACATCAAAGACAGCCCCGTTCTACTTCAGTTCGCGCCCGACGACAGCTTCTTGCTAGTAGCAACAAGAAGCAGTCATATCATTACACTAGGCTGCGACGATGGAAGCACACTTCGCGATCAGTCTTTCCTTAGCCGGCAGGCACCACTAGATATCGCTATCTCTCCAGACTGTAAGATGGTAACATTCGCCTACCGAGGTAAAGCCGTACTTCTCTGGAGCTTGGACAACGATCGCTTATTGGGAGCTTGCGGAGGAGAAGCTGACTCCTCGGCAATGATCAGCAACTCTTCCCCACAACGTGTCATCTTCAACTCCAATCCTGCTGTTGATTTGGTAGTAGTGACTTTCCAGAACGGCAACATGGTGCTATACGAAACCTGGAGCCAGCGAGCTGTCAAGGCTGTCCAGCAAGACTGTCATTACATGGCTTGTTCGCCGGACGGTCGCACGCTTGCAACAGGATCCAGCTGGGGTGTGCTCGGACTGTGGGATTTCGAAACTCTCACATTACTATGCCAGATCAATACGAGAGAAACTCTAGGAAAAGCCTTGTCGTTTACAGCGTGTGGAACTCGCATCATCGAGCTACGCGATCGCAAAACCAAAGTCTGGGAGCCCGCCGTCCTCATTCGTAAAGCTGGCGAAGAGGACTCAAGCATCAGCGAATCCGTGACTTTGCCTGCGCTGGTAGTCGGTGAAGGGGAGGAGGACATCGTACCAATCACAGCCACTTGTGTTCACCCAACTCGCGATGTCATCCTTGTAGGCAAAGACGATGGCTCAGTGAACTTCTACTCGGGACGTTCAGGAGAGCTACAAAGTGTGGCGTACTCTCACCAGCAAGATATCTTTGTGAAGATGATTGCAGTCAGCGCTGGCGACGTGGTCGTCACTCAAGATGCGAGCAACGAGGTTATGGCTTATGCATTGGAGGGTGGGCAGGACGACCAACTGAAAGTAACCGAGAAGCTGTTGAAAACTCGCTTCGAAGAGCCAGCCCAACAGCTCCTACTGAACGAAGCGGGTGATAGGCTTCTCATATCGACTGCTACCGCCGACCAATTATGGGTACGAAGCGCCAACAACGGCTTTCAGCAAATGAAGGTTCTAGAATCTTCGCCTAGATCTATATGGAAATGGATGTCCTCCATCAGAATACCAGATACTCTTATTCTGGTCGTGGATGAGACTATCCGCCGATTTAGTTGGGAGACGCTGGACGAACTAGCTACCACAGGTCCTCCGCGCAAAATCGATATCGGCACAACAGTCCTCACTGGAACCGATCTCACCCTCAAAGCCCTTGCTACCGATATCTCAGGTTCCAATCTCGTCGCCGAGTTCGCGCATAAACTCGGTTCAAAAGCAACAGAACGTCTCGCAGTCTGGCAAGCCGACGCCATCGAATCTCAAAGCGAAGGCGCAAGTACGGAACCCACTCTCCTTCTTTCTTCCGCTATTATCAAGCATTTTCTGGGCACATTCGAGCATAGTATTGTTTTTCTCGACCATCATCTGTGGGTCTGCTCGATTGATCTCGCGAGCTTGTCATTGACTCGTGGAGACGATGTCAAA